TTACCGCAAGAAGTTTATTATTAATATATATATAATATTATATACAGTAAAACTCGCATAAAGTCGACACTTTTGGGACCAGCATATTTGTGCCGACTTTACGAAATGACGACATACGCGTAAGTCGTCATTTTGTCGACTTATACGTAGGGTTCCCCTCCCAGGCGCCCGTACCCCTACGCAGTCATAAACATGCTCCACACACGACGTCAGTTCGCCGCCACATTCATAGCAGACATGAAACAATCGCGGTCCGTACATCAATCGACACTGCTGCTGGCCATAACGCACATACATCTGTACGCAATAGCGGGAAGCGCGGCACACGCTGGCTATCTGTAACACCGCTGTTGATTACACGTTTGGACATTTGCGGCTGCGCGTCTGCCAAATTCAGGGAGTCACACGGACTCCTCATTATTATGTCAAATCAAGGAGTCCGACAATAAACAGGAGCATTTGACTCCGGACTCGCGTTAATCTCGCACCCTGCATTAGGCTGCATACACTGGGGAATGCGGGGGATGTGCGAGCTGAAAAATGCGAGCTGCGACAGCCAGCCTCGCACATCCCTGGCTAGACCGTACACTGCACGCCGCGCGCCATCGGCATTTCTGATGCATGACTTACAGATGGGAAATTACTGTGTTTGTATTACATGGGAACCTGTCTGATGGCGTCGACTTGTACATAATGACGACTTATAAATGACGACTTAGGCAGGGCTATTCCAATGGATTTACTATGAGAGAAATCGGACTTTGACTTCCATGACGACTTATGCGAATTGACGAGTTAGACATGACACTTGCAATGCCGAGTTTTACTGTAATATATTATACCTATATTATGTAGTGGCAGAAGACCATGATGATACGTTACACAGGCAATAGCATATCCTCACTAACCACACGTCCATACACTGAATCCCTTTCATTTCTTATTACGAAAGCTCCCGCCAAACATCGCGTTACACGATCTTGAAGTGCACTAGGGTAATTCGTTGACCTGCGACAGGGGTGCGCCCCCACGGGTGATTTCCTGCACTATGCTTCCCTTCTCTGCACAGCTGGGTAGGCTTGCCCAGCGTAGGTAGAAGCATGGTTCTGACTCTCTCTGTTGGGAAGCCGTGTGGATGCGCGAAATCAGAGAAACACGTTAGTTACGACGAAAAGCCAAGCACACAAACACGAATGAACACTACGGCAAACAGAAACTTGACGAAATACTCGAAATATAGAAACCTTTAGAGTAATAAATCGATTACATTACAATTTTACTTAATAGTTACTTACTTAAATAGGAGTTACTTAAGGATTACTCAATGAGTGTTCATTTCAATTAAATTCTCAAGATTTGAACCATTATTTTCTTCCGAAATTTTGAAGTAACTTACAACTAGTCAGTCTACAAGGTCTAAATGAATTTGTCACCTTACGAGAACTTGATTGTCTTGCCGAATTGCTTCCTGACTTCACTGTCGCAGTGCCTGATGCAGTCTCTTCTTCATCCAGAGTCCCCAGAGCTTCCTTCTCCTCTGATATTAACCCCTTCTCTTTATCCCCACAGCTCTGATCTCGCCACGATCTATAACCCCGGGAGAGCACGACCTCTGATGTCGAATCCACTGAGTCACGACCTCTGACCTCACAATTCACTGGGGCACGACCTCTGATGTCGAATCCACTGAGTTCACGACCTCTGACCTCACATTCACTGGGGGCACGACCTCTGATGTCGAATCCACTGAGTTCACGACCTCTGACCTCACATTCACTGGGGGCATGACCTCTGATGTAGTAGCACTTGAGTCACTACCTCTGACCTCACATTCACTGGGGGCATGACCTCTGATGTAGTATCCACTGAGTTCACGACCTCTGACCTCACATTTACTGGGGTCATGACCTCTGATGTAGTATCCACTGAGTTCACGACCTCTGACCTCACATTCACTGGGGTCATGACCTCTGATGTAGTGTCCACTAAGGTCACGACCTCTGACCTCACAGCCACTGAAAGGCATGACTCTGATGTAGTGTCCATAAGGTCACGCACTTGACCTCACATTCACTGGGATCACGACCTCTGAGTAGTTTCTCGCGTCGGGTTTCCACCAGTTAAATCTCCTCGGTGTATGTCATCTGATGACATGCACTCCGACTGAGAATTTGACACTATTCCAGCAATGCAGCCGCCATCTTTCCAGACTGCCGCAGCACCACCTGGCGTGGTCGCTAACCGCATCGTCGAAAAATCCAATAGGTCGAGCGGAGTTCTTTTGGCTGGTTAAATGTTCGCAGGTAACTGGCTCCACCTGGTGATCGCAGACCGCGATCACCGAAGAACTGTGGACCAAATTGGAGACGTTTCTGGAGAGGCGACGAGATCGCTCTTCTGTTTCGACCAACTCGAGAACGGGCACCATCTGTGGACGCACTTCGCGCTCTCGCCGCTCCATTCCCACCAGATGTCGCCGCCGCCGTCAATTGTTTTCGCTATCGCTTCTCCGCCGACGGATTCGGCGCCACCCTACGCTTCCGCCGCCCGCGTCCGTCGGCGTGTCCGCGCGATAGCACTGCACGGTGCTGCCTCTTCAGCCCCGTCGTCGCTCTAACGTTAACTTCAACCGATGTTTGACTCTTGTAAGAACAAACACGGACGAGACTGAGAAGTTTTGAAACACCGCCGTCGCCAGGTTGCCGACACTGTCGCGTCGTCCGCTTTTCATCGCCGTTTCTCTCACGCGATTTTTTCGTCACCCGCGTCTCCCGTCGGCCCCGCGCTGACCGTAGCGCTCTATGCTTTAACGCGGGGTTTCGCCGCCTGACCGCGTAGCTGCTGCTTATTGTTGAACGCGGGTCCAACGCGCTAGCCGTGCGCCTATTGTGCGATCTATCGCTGAACTCTACTTTTTTAGGGGTCCGTCGCGCCACACCGTAGCTGATCTATTGTTGAACCTTCGTGGTCGTCGCCGTCCGACCAGTAGCTGCCCTCTATGTTGAACGCGGGGTCGTTGGCGCCGACGCGTAGCTCTGCTCTATTGAGTTTTTGAATTGGGTTCGTCGCAGCCGCCCGGGACCGTAGCTGCTCTATTGTGAATGCTTGGGTCGTCGCCGCCGACCGTAGCTCTTGTCTATTGTTTGAACGCAAGCGTCTTCGCCGCCGCGCATCCGTAGCTGCTCTATTGTTGAACGCGGGGTCGTCGCCGCCGACCGTAGCTGCTCTATTGTTGAACGCAAGGTCTTCGCCGCCGCCCGCTCTACGTTTCCGGTCGGAAAGCGACAGCGCGTATTTCACGTCCGTACCTTCCTCCTCCTCCTCCACGTCTGCTCGCTGGGATCCGACTTCTCCTGATGCGCTCCCGCTCTCTCTCCCCGACACCGCCTCCTCTCCTCCTCCACTCTGGCAGGCTTCCTTCGTCCCTCCGTCTACCGCGTGAGCTTCCTTTCCCGGACCTTCCCCGTCCAGAGCTTCCCCCGATGCAGCTTCCTCTCCAAATGCTTCCTTCGTGTCGCGGTTGTTGCCGCGGGCGTTGAGGTGCCTCAGTACGGCGAGGTAGTAGAACGCTCGCAGGCCGCGATAGATGGCGCCACTCGCAGGCGCGTCTGTCGCGGCGTGCTCTGCGGTGGCGCCCTCTGCCGGGAGCCCCGTCAGGAAGGTTTCGACGTCGTCGCAACCTGCCGAGGAGACAGCAATGATCGGCGTGAGCGGGAAATGCGCTTTCGAGTTTGCACAGGGATCGGGACGAAAGATTTCGCCGTAGAGTAAAACGAAAGTTTGCGTAATTTTGATCTCCTTTACGTTATCCGCTTTACTATTTTTGAATTACGTCATCGAAATTTAACGCATTTTACTCAAAACATCGATGAAATCTGAACTCCTAAAATGTTGTGGGATACATAAAATTCACAGACTCGCACATTCTAATCAATACACGCGCCGTCACACAAACATCACACGACAGAAGCAAGGACATAAACAATATAGCTAATATAATATTTCTATATATCTAATGCATAGAATACGAACCATACCTATTCCAAGGCACAATGCGACCACACACACCGAAAGTTAAAGAAAAGGGAGAAACGCCCACACCCACCGAACGGTAGCAGCACTTTGCATGCAGCTTCCACTAGATCCGGTCGCTTGAGATCGCTCAGCCTTGACAGACAGTTGAGTATGTGCAGCGCGGCGGTAGCGGGTTTCGTGTCCAGCAGACTGAGGGCCGACAGCGTGATCTCGTTCGACAAATAGACGGCAATCTGACCGGCGCAAAGAAACGATCGATCGCGCACGAAAACGAGAAATAAAACGAGAAATTAGACAGAATTAATCGAACACCTCGATAAAATAAATAAATCGTCATTAATTTCGATAATTCGATAAACTCGACTTCCGCCAAATAAATAGACGAAATGAGATTTTTACGTGGTGGGAATTTCTGCCATTACAAACGACTGCCCATGTACCAGTGGTGACCTCTGTTGGGTAAAAACTACATAATCTAGACGAGTGCAGCTGTAGAGCTACAGCTGCACATAGTAGAGAGGGGCCTGCTTGCCACAGGGGGGACGTTTGTAATGCCGACTCACCGCTCCGTCGCTCGGCTGGCCATGGATTGGCTGCTGCTGTGCGCGCAGCGTCGCGTACAGACGCGCGGCTCCGTTCGTCGCCACGGTAACGGGAAGCTTCGTCGTCCACGCGTGGAGGATGTGGCCGAGGAAGGAACGTCCGTCGTGCAGGGATCCCGGCATGCGGGGCGACGAGTCGTCGCTCAGAGCTAGCGACAGAGAAGAGATGAGGTCAGAGGTCAGAGGTCAGAGGTCAGAGGTCGGTGGCGCAGGGGGGTTGTCGTCGGAAGGGTCAGGAGTGGTAATGCTTATTATGAGTAAGAAATGTCAGGCAATGTCATTTTTTGTCACCTCAAGCAATGTGACCCTCGAGAGTTGTGGCCATCTTTAGACTTATGACAACTGGTAATCGTAATACTACTAACTTTCGTTATAGGCATGACCTCTGATGTAGTGTCCACTAAGGTCACGACCTCTGACCTCACATTCACTGGGATCACGACCTCTGATGTAGTTTCCACGTCGGGTTTCCACGTTAAATCTCCTCGGTGTATGTCATCTGATGACATGCACTCCGACTGAGAATCGACACTATCCAGCAATGCAGCCGCCATCTTTTCCAGCTGCGCTAGCACCACCTGGTGGTCGCTAACCGCATCGTCGAAAAATCCAATAGGTCGAGCGGAGGTTTCTTTGGCTGGTAAATGTTCGCAGGTAACTGGCTCCACCTGGTGATCGCAGACCGCATCACCGAAGAACTGTGGACCAATTGGAGACGTTTCTGGAGAGGCGACGAGATGCTCTTCTGTTTCGACCAACTCGAGAACGGGGACCATCGTGGACGCACTTGCGCTCTCGCCGCTCCATTCCCCACCAGATGTCGCCGCCGCGTCAATTGTTTTCGCTATCGCTTCTCCGCCGACGGATTCGGCGCCACCTACGCTTCCGCCGCCGCGTCCGTCGGCGTGTCCCGCGCGATAGCACTGCACGGTGCTGCCCTCTTCAGACTCGTCGTCGTCTAACGTTAACTTCCAACCGATGTTTGACTCTGTAAGAACAACGGACGAGACTGAGAGTTTGAACACGCCGTCGCCAGGTGGCGACACTGTCGCGTCGTCCGCTTTATCTTCGCCGTTTCTCTCACGCGATTTTTCGTCACCCGTCTCGCCGTCGGCCGCGCAGACCGTAGCTGCTCTATTGTTGAACGCGGGGTCATCGCCGCTGCCCGTAGCTGCTCTATTGTTGAACGCGGGGTCATCGCCGCT